TTTCTATCGGCAACACACGACTTTCCACAGTTAAATTCGATTTATATTTTCTGTACGGATGCTGAACGTAGTGAATCATTAGTAAATGTCTATCGGAAAGTTCAGTGTATGTTCAATGATATTGATTCAATTTGTGAACAACTAAAAGTGGATACAAAGAAATGTGACGACGATTTACTCGGTATGGATGTCGTAGCTCCTTCACATAAGGAAGAATCGAATGTACAAGAAGCGAGTTTCATGTATGCTCAGTTATTCAAAGAAATTCTACTTGACATGACTTACTCTCATGCCGAAAGACAAGAAATGATTAGCTACTGTCGTTTGCAATACAGTGATAACCCAAGTGAACTTGAATTTATTGTTGAATTTGAAAAAGATTATTCTGAACATACACCAATCTGGTGGTATTCACGGCAATCATTTCTATACAAAATGCTGAACAAAGCCCTGCGTATACAAGACATCGAGACATTGTACAAACTGCGCGTTTTCATGAAAGATCTACATACACAACTGGTCACATTGCATCAAAACTCGACTTATAATGATAGTATCATTCTTTATCGAGGTCAACGAATGAGATCATTGGATTTGGCAAATTTAAAAACGAACATCGGTGCTTTATTATCGATCACGAACTTTCTCTCAACAACAAGTGATCAGCGAGTTGCATATGCATTCGCCGGAAGAGAAATGACGACTCCCGATCGTACAGCTGTAGTCATGAGAATTAAAAATGAATCCAATGCTAGCTCTCGTGCTGTTTTTGCTGACATAGATTCATTGAGCTATTTTGCCGGTAAAGAATACGAATGGCTTTTTTCGATGGGTAGCGTTTTTCGAATCGAATCGATGGAAGAATCTCGAGAAGGTCTTTGCTGCATCAGTTTGATATTGACCAATGATAGTGATGAACAATTGAAAACTTTAACCGATTATATGCGTCGTCAAATATGGAACCCGAACCCATTATTGCGACTCGGAAACTTGATGTGTGAAATGAGTGACTTTGCTCAAGCTGAACATTTCTTTCAAGTAAGCACACATGTTGAAACCTATTAGAGAAGAAATGAGTGGGATAGTAACAATAGGTTTTCAGCCAGCGAAACTTAGCTTGAATGAAGATGATCGAATCAGAAAATAATTTCAATTCTTGTGCCTAGATTGCCATGGCTCGTGAGACTTCGCATCTTGAACGTGCTATCATACTTGGCAATCTCGGTTTTGTAAGCGAAAAATTCGCCGAATATGATGCAGCACTAGATTTTTAAAAACAATCGTTTGATATTGTACAAAAGTATTCACCAAAGAACCATCTTTTACTTTCGACTATTCTTAATAATATTGGATCAGCGTATCGTAATCTAAAACAACCTTCTCTTGCTCTGGACTATTTTCGACAATCACTGAATCTTTTGATGCAGGATTCAGACCCCCATATGGAAACAATGGCGATCTGCTACAATGCTATCGGAGCTATTCTTGAAGATGAAGGACAGTTGCTTGAATCACTAGAAAATTATCAGCGAGCACTTGATCTGCAGCACAAAAGTTTACCATCAACTCACGGAGCTATCGCGATTACTTTGAACAATATAGCCGGCAATTTCTGGGAGCAGAAGAACTATGACAAAGCCTTGATAACCTTCAAAGAATGTCTTGAGATTCAACAGAAATCACTACCATCAGGGCATGTATCCATTGCAATTACGATGGACAATATTTCGGCTACACTAGCTCGCCAAAGTCGTTATTCAGAAGCCATTGAGATGAGTGTTCGTGCGGTTGAAATAAGTAAAAAAGCTCTTCCAGTCAATCATCCTCAAATACTTTTACAGCAAGGAAATTTGGACGCAATTCGAAAGAAACTTTAATGATAATGTTGAAGACGAACTCGTAACTTGAAAGATCAATGCGTTTTCAATGAAATATATGCCATGATCGGTGGTCCTACTCATTTGAAAACTCCTATTTTATCTCGAGATCTATCTTATTTACGACAGAGCTAGGGTGTGGGTGTGGATGGATCTGGGCCTAGGTGTGGGTGGGTGTGGGTGTGTGTGAGTGTGGGTGGATGTGGGGTGTGGGTGTGGGTGGGTGTGGCTGTGTGGATGGGTGTGGGTGTGGATTGGTGGTTGCTGGCCTTGCTCTTCTCTTCACTCACACCCACACCCACACCCACACTCATACCCACACCTACGCCCACCCACACCCACACCCACATCCACACCCACACCCACTCACATCCACACCCACACCCACACCCACACCCACACCCACACCTACACCCACACCCACACCCACCCTGCATAGAAAAAAGAAGATAAGTTCGGAAAAACATGAATATCTTTAGATTTAAAAAAAAAGTATTGTTGAGGACAGAATAGGTCAGTTTTTGAATTAATAAAGATTTTTCATCCTTGTTTGTTCATAATCGTTGAATCTGACAATGGTGTTTTTCTGTCTAAAATAAGAAGTGAAAAAAATCTTATTTCTTCTCTTTCTTCTTTTATTTATTTACATAGATTTACAGTGTATTGTTTTAAGTTGTTCTTTTGATTAATGATACAAAATTAGGACTCTTCGTAATAATATGGTCTGTTCGTAGTGACTGACACGAAAAGTAATTTTTCTAGAGTTGTATTGTTCAGTGTAAAGATAAAATAAATACAAAATTACGTTCCATATAGAACAATTATATAAGTTGTTCTCGTTGTTAAATCATTATTAGCTCTTCTAGATTAATACCCAATGCTAAAGAGTTAATCACAAAACGATATTGCCTGAAACCAACTCGACATGTTTTAGTGCCAAGATAAACAACTCAAGCAATTCTTTAACAATCTTTGTTGTATAACTCATTTTACTAGAATCATCAATAGATCAACTTCTTCGTCCATTTATTAGTTCTGATGGCATGCAAGGGTGTGGGTGTGGGTGTGGGTGGATGTGAATGGCATGAAGAAAACATAGACTCAGACCCACCCCACACCCCATCTCACCCACATCCACACCCAACTGCAATTTTGTGTCTGTGGAGAAGTCGGCACATATACTGTTGTTGTTTACCCTAAGGTTCGATAAGCATAAAGTTACCTTCAATATACAAAATGATTATACTTCAATTCTGTGTCTGTCATACGATGTGTTATTACTCGTGTTGCTCCCATCGTGTTATTTCAAATAGAAGGAAAAAACAATTTTTTTTCTGTTCTGGCTGTGGCAATTGAGAAAAAAAACGATCAACACGTGCGTAAATACGGTATCTTCATTAGCAAAACAACGTCTAATAAGATACATTCATAGCACAGTTTTTTTTTTGTATTCGTGTTCTGTGAGCTAAAAATCACAGAAGAAAACAACGATTGCTTATGAATCACACAAGCTGAAGTCATCAATCGTCCTTATTGCTAATAGATCTGTCTTTGGCGTTAGGTCTTGCGTGAATGATGTAAGATCAACTTCAAGTAAGAACTGTTAACTAGCTTTCATAAATCGGGGCACTAATTCTGCAAGGCCCAAAGTGACTTATAAAAACCCCAAGTAGTAATATGGCTTGCGGGGGGGTGGGGGGCTTCTAATTAAAAATTGTGTTTAAGAAAGTCCTAAAGGTTCAAACTATATAATTATTTGACTGTGCATAGTTACTCTGAACTCCCACCGATGCATAGCAACAACGCACATGAATTTATTTCATTTCACATGATCCTTTCTTCAGTCGACTGAATAGTCTTTATCACCTAGTTTATTCGTTATATGTGATTTTCAACTATTAATAGAAAAATATATCAGTAAAAGAAAATAAAGAACGATTGAATCGGATAATCAAAACATAATGATTCATAGAGTTACTCATGACCTTACGTGTTTCGGAATCCGAAATCAGTTGTATATGTTTGAAACCTTTTGTTACAAATAGATGAAGTCCATTAAAATTCTTGATCTTTCTCATCAGTATTTTGCTCATATTTTCTAGTTCGAATGGACGAAGACTTGTTGTCGGTAGAGAAAACGCCCTGTACAAAGTGCGGTAACTGCGATTTCCGAGAGAGTAAAATCGATTTCTGTGAAGATGTACTTTCGATGCTAGATAAACCATGCCTTATGGTATCATAGATGGTATCATAGACTTGATGCAAGTTCATTTCAGGTGTCAATCGTTTAAAGTACACATTGTGACGCATAACATCATCGAAATGATATCCGATTGAAATGCATGTCTCTTCACCAAGTTCAACAACGGATTTAGTAATACGACTACGTAAGTGTTCAGGCAAATAGTATCCTCGGTGACCTTGCAATGCAGCACAAATAAGACTATGAACGATCGATTGACGAGGACAACAACGATGAAAAATTTCTACATAACGACGAATATCATCATCATCTTCATATTGCCATAACCATGTGAAAATTGCATCAGAAGAAAGAGCAGTTAATCGTGCATCGATATTAGATTTAAGAACACCATGACCTACTTCAAGATTAGTGCCAATGACGACAATATATTTTGATTTCACCTCATCTGAAGATAAAAGATCAACAGCACGTGCATGTGACATGTCTTCAATGGGAGTGCCTATTATAAATTAACATTTTGTTCAACAAAAATTTTGTTAAATTAAATTTACATATTCACCTAATTCTAGTTCATTGCCTGTTAATAAAACATCTGAACCACCATCGATCAAAACGAGTTCATCAATAGTGCGTCCGTGTATTAAATATCTATAAGCTTCGACAATTAATTCAATACGTGTTTTAATGTAATCACATAAGATTGCATAAATAGGTACATGAAGTTCATTAGCAAGACGTTGTTCAGGAAAATAAACATCATCTGTCAGCCATGCTATATCCGTTCTTGGATCAATACGAAAAAGTACTGTTGTTAGCTGCTGACTGTATTGGGACAAAAGAGTATGCGTAGTGAAAGTATAATTGATAAGTGTTACATCATCAATTCCATTAGATTTAATTTTGAAATAATATGGTAGACCACCAAATATATCATAACCACCTCCACAACCAGCAAGAAAAATTGTTTTAGATGTTTTACTTGTCATTATAGTTATATTATTCTACCTGACAACAGCAACAAATTTATTTCAGAGCAGTAGCTCATATATATATATATTTCTCGCTCATGAGTCACAGAGAAAACAGAACAAACATGTTAATATTTTTTTCTCCACGTCAGTAGTAAGTATTTGTTGCTCTGACGTGTGACACTGACGACAGAATGGAGAAAAAGAAACATGTTGTCAGCAATATTTTTTCTCTTTTCTTTTATTTTCGATCAAAATTTGCTGACATAATTGGTTATATCATAGGAATACGATCTAAATATTCTTTTTTCATTGAATAAAATATTAAACAGTAGAGAAAGTCCACATCCTAGAAAAAAAGTATCTAAATAAGGGTGATTTGCTTTGAAACTTGTACCAAAGCAAGGATTTGGTCAATCCTGATCGCAGCCAAAAGCTCGAGTTTTTGTCTTCTTGCTGAGGGTAAGATATCAGGCCAACACCCAGGATTTTTTCTTCATATTTCTGACGAAATTATATGATGTTTGAAGTAAATGCTGGTACTTTTCGATTTGCTAAAATAAGAGAGCTGGACAATATCCAGAAAATCGAGAAATTGTTTCATGTAGAGCAAAAATGTTTCACCCTCCCCCAAGTCAAGACGAAATCCTTTATTGAAAGAACCAAAGACGTTACATCGATCCAATTTTGAAGTAGAAATACTTCATCCAATTCTCCTTTCACAAAGAGAAGTGTAAAAGACTTATAGAGAAATTCATCATTTTACGTTTTCATTAAAGAGTAGTTCCTAGTAGAAATTGGTTTTTTCTATCAGAGGTGGGTATTTTTTAAGCAGAAATTGTTCGTCTATAACTCCAGCCATTAGGACATGTGTAATAGACTTAGAGAGATATGGATCATATTCGTTTTCACTGGTAGGAATGGTTTTCAACGAAACTATTGTTTTCTAGCAGAAATGAAAAATATTGAAAGAGAAATCATGCATGTATTCCTATCATCGTAAGCAGCAGTCTAAAAGACTTTGAGAGGTATTGATTATTTTGTTTTTTTGTATAATGGCATTTGTAATAGAAAGGCTGTGCTTTTGGTTAAAATGTAATATATTGTGCGGAAAATCTTGAAGCAGCCGCAGCGTCCGATGGGAGTGGTTGAAATTAATTTGGTAGAGCTTGCTCAAATAGGTCTTAAATCAGGTTAAAAGGAACTTTTTCACGATAACCAGAAAAAATGAATTGCTGGTGAGAATTTTCGATTAAATTTTGCGCAATGATTTGTTCGAATCGATTTTTTTCTGCGAAATAGATTAATATCTATCTTCTTTGCGTCAATGTCTATAATGAATTAAAGGATCTAAGGGATTTTAATGGATTTTTAAAGTTAATCTATTAAAATCGTTTTTTTTTGTGATGAATCTCGTAAATTGATGAAAGAGGGAATCGACTGTTTCATCGAGATAGTATAGAAAAACGTCTAAAATCAGGTTGAGTACGATATGCCTTAAATTACGTTAATAAAAGGATTAAATCGTGTTAAATTTCTGGATTGCAATAGGTTTTAATCGATTTTTGAGGATTAAAAATCTGATAAAAGTCGTGGTATTTTATTCGATTTGCAATCATAAAAAAGTCGATGAAAACGAGATTTATATTTTGTTTGTTTACCTGAATGTTGTGAATTTCTTTTTGATTAAGTAGCTATTTTTAGTAGAAATGACTCGTAGCGTTATATATATATGTTTACAGGTTTTTCCTTCCTGCACATGGTATGAAATTCTGGTGGAATCGAAGCCCGTTGTTTTCTGATCCATTTCTCCTCAATATATATGACTTTTCGTGGAGTGAACCAGAGGTATAGAACAATATGTATCTTCATCTCTCTAAAGGATATAATGCTAAAACTTTTAGCATAGGTTTGCGCATACTTATACAGTCTACAATAAAATTTTCAGGCCGAACGGCTGAGCCTAACTCGAAATTTGAATCAAATACTGGTAGGGTTACCATATGCCAGTTCCGTGTGTAAGCAATATATAGGTCAAAACTTAACGAAGATATGTCGGTTTGTAATGAGAATTATATGAAAGAGAGATTAGGAGCGAGATTTTCCAACGATGAGTCGAGCGGCATTATATCTCTTTCATAGCCCGAAATATCACAATAAGAAAAAAAAATCCTCGGTGTTGTCCTGATACCTGAGCCTTAGCAAGAAGACCAAACTCGACCTTTTGTCTGCGATCAAGATTGACCAAGACTTTGCTTTGGTACAAGTTTCAAAGCAAACCACCATTATTCAGATACTTTTCGCCTAGGATCGGAACTTTTGTCCACTACTGTATATATAACTATATACCTTTGACTATCAATGAAAAATTCGGTACAATCGAATATTTAATTATTTTAATCATCGTTGTTCGTTGGATGTACTTTTCTTTATGGTTTGTCATACACGGCAACTACGTCATCGAACTTGTAAAACTGCATCATGAAATTCAGAATAAAAAACCAATAATGTTATCCAATTTGACATACATTTATATGGATATCTATGATGTATGGTTTTATAACTTTGAAATTGTCATGTCGAATTGATCGGTCCAGTACAACTATTGCGTATTGAATGTGGAACGGATTCAAATTATTTTGACGCTGATAAATGGAAACAATTAATCCAAACATATATACCTTATTTATGCAGATTCGACTATGAATATCATGAAGATTGGCCATATGACTATGAAGGTGCTTATTTTCATACAAAAATCAATC